TTATATGCAAGCTACCCACCCCAAGGGGGGTGTAGCACTCATACCCTTAATCCCAGCATTGGGCCATGAATCACTCACAAACTCTAGAATCAGCCACCTCTGAAAACCCTCCCCTCACGACTGCATGAGGCTTTAGGGGGACATCTAGACACAAACTATAACAATATATGTGTAATATATATATACACACACACACACATACACACACACACACATATATATATATATTTAAGTTTAGTTTACAAATATATTCTTTCTTTAATATGTCACATATTGGGGAATTATTATTAGCTATACTAGAGATTGAACCCAGGGCCTTCTGCATGCTAGGCAGGTATACTACTTAGCTACATCTCCAGCTCTTTTCATTTTTACATTGAGACAAGGAATCAGTAAGTTGCCGGGTATGGCCTCCAACTTATGATCCTCCCTGCCTGAGCCTCCTGAGTAGCTGTGATTATAGGCATCCACCACTGCACAAGTCAAGGAACTGTTTTAAATAGAGATGTAACACACAACAAAACTGACCACTTTAAAGTGCATAATTAATTGGTTTCAATGGAGTCAGAAGACTGGGTGACAATCACCACTATCTAATTCCAGGAAATTACACCACTCCTTTCCCCTCAAAAACTCTGGCACCCTTTAGAAGGCACTCCTAATCTATACCCATTCCCTGGCAACCATTAATCTACCTTTTGTCTTTACGAAGTTCCCTCATCTAGATATTTCACATGAATGGGATCATACTATATACTACATAGCATTTTATAAATGGCTTCTTTCACCTCAGGTTAACAAGTTTTTTCCACGGTATGGTATATACCAACATTTCCATTTGTAGTTGAATAGTATTCTGCTGTATGTATGCAACACTGCATTGGACTGTCCATTCATCAGCTGATAAACCTGTAGGCTGTTTTCACTTTGGCGCTATCATAAATAATGCTCTTTTGTAATGGATATACTTTTTCATTTCTTGTGGGTGTGCACTTAGAAGTAAAACTGCTGGATCTTGCAGCAACTCCAACTTCATGAGGAGTGCCACACTGTTTTCCAGAAGCCTATACCAACTGACATTCCCACCAGCAGTGTATGATGGTTCTAATAAATCTACATCTTTGTCAACACTTATTACTATGTTTTTGGTTGAAGCAACATAGTGAGTGTGAAGTACTATCTTATTTTGCTTTTTGAGTCACATTTCCCTAATGGCTAATAATGTTAGACACCTTTCATTTATTTATTGGCTGTCTGTATATGTTCCTGGAGAAACGTTTACTCAAGTCCTTTGCCCATTTTCAAACTGAGTGTTTGTCTTTTGTTGTTGAAATGTAAGAGTTTACACTGTCTTTTTAATTTACTTTATTTTTTGAGATACAGTCTTGCTCTGTTGCCCATGCTGGTCTGGAGTTCCTGGACTTAAGGAATCCTCCGGCTCCAGCCTGCTGTGGAGCTGAGATTATGGCGTATGCCACCGTGCTAATCTTCGAAATGCATTCTTAAAGGATTATATTTCACTTAGAGGAGCCACAGAGAAGGTTGGAAGGTACCAAGGGAGAACCAAATCCTTGAATATTGCCAACCTACTAAAGATACTGTGGCTTCAATCACTATTTAACATCTCCTCCCTACCAAACCTGCTTTTATCTCCTTTGATCTCTAAAATTCCTAAAAATATTTTCACCTTTCTCATCATGGACAGTATTAAACTTACCCACCTTTGGTTTCTTTCTGACTCCCTCATCCAATCTCATTACTGCTATGTTTTCAGTCACTCTGATACGGGTCACATTTATCTCCAGCCTTTCTACTTCTATGACCAAGGCACATCCAGACTCTTACTGGACCCCACTTAGATTACTTTCTTGATTCTAGTTTCTTCTCTCTCCAAACCACCCTATATGCTGCTATCCTATGTCTTCCTAAAGCACTGATTACATCTCTTGCATGCTCAAAAGTTTGTCCTGACTGGTCCCACGCTATTTCTCTTTGCTTTGTTTTTTTTCCCCAGTTCCTAAACCACAAATAAACTATTTTGGGTCTCCCCCACCCAAATTCATAATTACTACAATCACAAATTTGTTTGTATGTTATAAATTTTTAAATTTAAAAATATGTTAATGTGAAAAGAGGAATTAAGTAAAAATAGTGAAAGCAAATAAAGGTAACTATTCCATAGCAAAATGAAAGCAGATCTTACGATTTATTTTTCCAGTGTGATTCTTAGTATTAGAAATTCTCTGGAGAAAAGGGTAAGTTGCAAAAAAAAAAACAAAACAAAAAAACCCAAAAAAGCCACAAATGCATAAAATCACCAGCTGCATTGGGACTATCTGAAAGAATGACAGTATATATTTGTATCTAATATCAGACAGACGCGAGTTACAATGGTCGGCCTTCAAGTTCCCATGTACTTCTGGGCAACAGCAGCAGCACGTATGGTGCGGTTTCCCACCGTCACATGCAGGACTGCGCTCTGTTTCGTTGTAAATATTTCTTCCAACATAAAATAGCATCAAATGAATGCAAAAAAAAATTTAATAGAAAACTAAAAATAAACCAAAGAGAAAATCACAGGGCCAGCCTCACCCCCCTAATTTTATGATTCTATCAAACAGCAACCAATACAGAGGAAGAATATGAAAAGGAAATTTTCCTACAATTTTATCTATGAAGTATTTTAATATTCAAACATGAATGTTGAATTAGTTCGTATTTTAAAAGGAAGTGACCGGTTATCTACAACTTACAGATCATGTAAACTCATGAGAATATGTAAGCCATAAAGTAAACTAAACGCATAAGCAGACATATTTATACTTTGCCCACACAATCCCGCGAGTAAAACACAGACAGTAAAAGGACTGACGGGCAAAGAAAGTGTTCTCTAAACTCCAGGACAAATATAACTGCTGAGATTGAGACAGAAGAAAAGGCTAACAAAAACAAGAGATGTGTTCTATTCTACAGATTTTTCTCCTGGGCACAATTATAAAGTGACATTCAAGTGCAACCAATGAAGTCTCTATTTTTTTCCTCACAAATCCAAAGACATCAGCAAAACCACCGATGTCAGTAATAAAAATAAAAAGTCTTTGACTTTTTAAATGTTATCATACTGTCACAGTGGAATAAAATTAGCTTGAAAAATGATCTAAAGGCACATGATGCAGTTCATTATGTATAACAGCAACAGCAGCGGTTTCCCTGTGTTCATAAAGGCTGCTCCATTAAATTTACCTCCAGTCAATAATTAGGAGTCCACAAATAAACCTGGGCAATTAAATCAATACTACCAGGCAATTATATTCCAGAGTCCAGGCTCAGTGGCACAAAAAGGCACTATATCAAGCTTCGGTAGTAAGAAGTCTGATGCCACTTTCAACAGAATTTTTTACTACTAACTGGACAGAATTAGCACATATCTAGATAAGGTAGGATGCGTGCAAGTACCTCTATACATGTTAGCCAAAGAAAGTAGATCTTGCATTAGTATAACTAGTAAAATTTAGTAAACATTTATATTGATTTATTATTCTTTATGGTCATAAATGATAAACTTTCTAATTAAAATATATACAAGGTCATATTTACAAGGTGAACACTTTTAAGAAATCATTACAAGGTTTATTTTTATCATCTTCAAACTGGAGAAAAAAATCTTCACAGAAATGAGTACTGCACCCCTCCGCGTGCCAAGCACTGCACTAGCTCAGGGCACACAGCGCGCCTGACAGGAGGCTCCAACAGCAGGGCGCTGCTGCACGGGGCTTCGCCTGACACCTGTGCATCTACACTTACACCACTTTACGCAAAAGACTGCGTTACCTTACATTATCACTGCAGTGATTCCACATGTTTCCACAATAGATAAAACTGATGTTAATATAGATAACTTATATACTGTCATTAAGTTTTCACTTCACCAAAAGTACAGAAACTGTTTACTAATGTAAGTGTAAAATAATTAGACTTAATGTCAGCTTCTGTTGTTAATCTTTCCAGAGAAGCATTTATAATGTCCTTCAAAAATCATAGGACAATTTCTTTGCTATTTTGACAAACGGTTTCAATTTTATTTATTCCAGATCAATTTTGAAATAAACTGTTAGAATGAGCAAAAAACTAATGAAAAAGTTTTAGAATACATTACATGCTGTCAGTGATGTCCAAACAAAAGCTGGCTATGACTAGAAAAGCAGGGCTCTCACCTGCCAATAAACTGCCCTTGATCACTTACAAGAGGGGCGCATCCCAGCAGACTATCTGTGTATTAAAAAAATACTTGAAAGGGAAGAAAAAGTATCACACAGGTCACAGCAGCAGTCTCAATAGACCCCTCAGGGATTTCAACTCGTCTTGGCCTTGTCATTCTCTATGCAGCTTTCTACTCAGCCCAGAAAACGTCGATAGGAAAATGTTTGAGGGGCCTCTGGTGGAAATTTTTTCATTCTTTCTGCATTGACAGGATGCCAAATCAATATTTACTTCCCACTAACAAGCTGCTCGAGGTCTCAGTAGAAAATATTGTAGAGAGTGCGGGAAGACACAGTAATAAACAGCTGTCTGGCTGTGAGGAAAACATGAATTGACTGGAAACAGGTCCATAGTAAAAGGTCACTGAAACCCATGAACTCCTCAGGTGTCCATATCAACTACTAACTTTAAAGACACATAATAAAGAATCTCATTTCCTAAGAGGTCTGAGAGAATGGATCCTTTTCAGTCTAGCAAGCATGGAGGTTGCCTCAATAATTTAATTAATGTATTTGCTAAGACCCATGTTGGCTCTTTCCCAAGGCATCTGTTTCATTTGTTAAGTCCAAAAGTACAAATAGAGGGTTAACTTTCCTGCCTACCTTTCGGGATAATTCTTTACCTTAAAAAAAGTAAGTAATGGGTAAGTGTTTAGAAAAAGTTAGACATCTAGTAAAAATGTAAGACATATTTTTATTTGGAAGTTTTACTGTAAGAGGCAAAAAAGAGAGAAAGATTACCTGTCCTTCAAGAAGTTTCTGAATGTACAACAGCCATTCTTGGTCATTTTCAGCATCTATCTTTGTCTTTTTCATTTCCTAAAGAGATGAAAATACTGGTGTTGATATACTTATATAACATGGTCACACAATTGATTACTGAATAAATCACGCGGGACACCAGTAGAATAACTTTTAGCAAAGAGCTGGCTGCACTATCAATGTAGGAAAATTTAAATCCATGCTTCTTAATATTTAATGTATAGATATGTGCTTGCATGCAGAAGATAAAGTCGTATTTCTATATTTCACAACAATTGAGGAGTACAGTATTTTATTTCTGCTTTCACAGTGGTGCTCAAGATACAGACTGAGACGCCAGGCATCTTACATATGCTATCAGGATTTGAAACAAATTTATTACAATTTGATGCAGTTTAAAGAGCATAAATGAAGCGGTCTTGGCTTTGCCTGGGCAAGGCATTCAGCTCCTCGTAACACCACAAAATGCAAGGATCGGTTTAAATCAGCCCTGGTCTGTAATTAAAGCTAGCAAATATAGTAAGGTGCCCCGGTCCTTCTGAGAACAGCGCATTTGTTCTCAAGTCCTCTTCCTTCAGGAAGACCTTCACGTAAGGTTACACGGCACGCAATATTACGGTGCTGTGCACTTTGACTTCAGACTGCATCTGCCAAGAGGGGCTATTTTTTCACAGAAATGTATCCTGCAGTCTTTGAGACTGTAATGAGAGATACATACCTGAAGGAAAAAAAATTAATTTGCCCATTAAAAGGGGATGCCTTTTGATAACTTGTCGGCTTAGAAAGGGCATCTTTTTCGAAACCTAACAAAATCAATGGCTCTGTGCTCCAGTACACACACACGCATTTGTGTGTTAAGTGCATGTGCACACATACACATAGATGCACGTGCACACCCATATGAGCAATTTCGCCACATCTGCTTATGTGCAAACTCCAGGGAACACTGGCGGTCTCAATCTTAACCTTTTGGTAAGTTTTTCACTATTAATTAACAAATTTTAATTACTATCTGTAATGAAACAGTTAATATCTTTGCTAGAGGTAATATTACCTCTCATGTGTCTTATATTTGATAGCACACTTGATAATGCTCTTGTACTTCACAGTTCAGGATTTGGTAAAAAGTCAAATGGTGGCCTAACTGCTGAAAACAGAAAACTGATAGTTTACCATTCTATTCAACCATGGGATGAAAAGGAGCGCAGCAGAATTTCTCTGACCTCTTTTCAAAGGACTCTTGGCAATTTAAAAGCCTTTGCAAACTGCAGATTTGATCTACTCCAGAAGATCTTTTAGAAAAGCTGATGGCAGCCTGGTGGTTGGTCTCACATAAATAAGTATTTACGGTTTTCATTTTATTTATTAGTTGAGCACATATTTATTTGGATGTTCTTAGTGTTACAATCTCTTCAATATTTTCAAATACTTTGAACTTTTAAAGTTGGGCATGGTGGTGTATGCCTATATTCCCAGCACTTGGGAGGCCGAGGCAAGAGGATTACCACAAGTTCAAGGACAACCTAGGCTGCACAGTGAATTCAAGGCCAGTGTAGGCTACATAATGAGACCCTGTCTCAAAAAAAAAAACCAAAATAAAGCAACAACAACAAATCTAACCGTCATGTTCCAGTTCAGAGGCACAGCAGAACAGGCTCGAGCACCCTCCGCAGGTTTCCCAGGAGATGACGCACAGATGGAGTTAGGCTGTTTTAGGGGCGGGAACTAAATCAAAAGGCAGTGCTCCGCAGAAAGTGCAGTGAGGCTACTCAAGACCTCCACCCACGTGCATAGACCTCACTCAGATAGCAGCACTTTGCCCAATTTACAACAATAAATACACTTTTCAACAATATATTTTCAAAATACATACTGACCAAAAATTTTAGGTTTAGGCAGTTAAGCCAATAGATTTGCTGCTAAAAACCAAAAAAACAGGTTGAGGATACAGCTCCGAGGTACAGTGCCAACCTACTACGGGTGAGGGTCCGGGTTCTATCCCCAGTACCACCAAAAAGACACACAAGAAACCAAATGAAACGTTATATAAAATCTCACATATGAGGTAGTTTAGCTAAAGCCATTCAAACTGACTTAATTTAAAATACTAGTTTAGAAGATTTATAATGTAATTAATTAAATTAAAGAACATGGAGGAAACAGGAAAAGGGTAACTGGCCAGGATGATAAGCAATTCAGAATACTGCATGTCCTGGGCTGTTTCTACATTACACAGCAAAATTTCTCTCCGGGTGTTTGAGTTGGTTAACGTTTGATGTGTACCACCGCCACATTAATCTTACCTTCGTGAATGTAGTCTTAACTGTGACATTCTAAGAATGATAAAACAAACAAAATAGGCACATAGCACATACTAAGCCCTTATTACCTAATGAGTCTTTCAAGGGCCTTACCACTTCGTCTTCTGTATCCAATAGTTCCGCTAGATCTGACCGCGAAATGTTCAGGATAGAAGCTGCCAAGCTCTGGGCTTTACGGGTTGAGGCTTTAGAAGCTTCTCTGTTTTTCTGCATTTTTTTAAGCTCTCTGATTTTTTGCCTTATCACACGGACATCATTTTGTAACTCTTTGACCAAAGCCTAAAACATTGAAAAGAACATGGGTTCATGTGGAAGTCATAATGAAGACAAAGTAGTCCTATCACAAAAATGTGAAAACAGTAGCAAATCATTTTTATTTGGGTTGTTCTGATTTTATTTCATGTAGAATATAATGGACTGCTCTCTACTTGCTGGTTTACAATAAAAACTGTTTTAAATGACCTCTTAACCAACTTGCTGGATCAACCAGAGCTCTCTGTCTTTCAGTCGTACTAACGTGTGTTGTTTGTATGATTATAGGCTACTTTTAATCATGACAAAGCACAGTTGACCTCATTCCAAAAATTAGTTGTATGTGTCCCTAAATATGTATAGGTTACTTGTAATAGGTTTTCACATAATTTAACTATTACTTAAACTGATAAAAGATGACTACAGAAAAGCTTATTTCTATTTTACTAAAACTGAATTAGAAATGCTTTGGAGGGACTTGAGAAAGACTAGGTAAACTTGTAATTAAATTATGTGCAGGCAAGATAATAATAATGGATTGGAAACACATCATAAAAAAGCTAGCACTGCCTCCCCAAAGTCTCTAAATTCCCCTTTGAGAAAAAAAAAAAATGCCTGCCCATAACACTTCCACATGTGCATTAGAAAAAGGTATTTTTTTGCTCCCAAAAGTAAATTTGCAAGTGAAAATATTCCATTTATTAATCACATGTTGAGCCAGAATTTATCAAATTTATTATGACATTAACCAACTATAAACACAAAAAGTACTCAGAAAACACAGACTGCTTGGTCTAACAAAGCAGGGGTCCAGTCCTTTCATCAGTTGGCAGCATGCTGCTGCTGGTGCTGACGACGACAATGACGACCACAACAGCTACTGCTGGCTGTCACAGTAACTTACTGAGCCTCCGAGTACGTAGGCATTATGCTAGATGTTTCACATGCTATCTCTACTCCTGGTAACTCTTTTAATTTTAGTATGTTAGTACATGTGTGTAGTACATAATGTTTACATTCCTTGTGGGAAGTTGGTACATATACATAACAAGTCTTAATTCCTTACTCTGGATGGACAGTTCTATGTCTCAGTTTATTTTATTTTATTTTTTTTTTTTGTTTTTTGTTTTTTTTGGTTTTTCTCCGGTACCGGGAACCGAACTCACGACCTTGCGCTTGCCAGGCAAGCGCTTTTGCCACTGAGCTAAATCCCCAGCCCTATGTCTCAGTTTATGGTTTATGAGTTGCAAGCACGTTAGATAGATATGTGGAGTGTTTTCATTCTTTTGTTATCTAGCTTAAATAATATAATAAAAATGGTGCTCATGTACCAATTTTGCACCTCTAGGATACATTGCTAGAAGTGAAACTGCTATACCAAAGAGTGTGTAAAACTTAAATTTAAAGCTTAAATAATTTAAAAATTTTCTGCTGCTTCCTCCAAGATACCACTAATTTTTAGTTCCAAAAAGAATTGATGAAAATACCTGTTTCTATACACCATTAACAAAATATCAATATAGAATTTTAGTGTGTTTTGTCTGGTTTTCACTGTATTTTAAATTTTTATTTCTCTTATTATAAATGAAGTTGACAATCATCCATATTGTACTATGAAGCAAGTGTAACCCATGATCTTTCCCTGCTATTTTCAGGTTCTATTTTTCCACAGTAAGTATAAGTTCGTATTTCTCCCAGTGATTTCACTAGTGGTTAGGTGAGTTTCTGGGGTTCTCATTCTGCTCTATTCCTTTTTTTTAGTAAAGCTTTGTACTGTAATTAGCAAGGCTGAGTAATAAATTTTAACATCTTTTAGGACTCCTGTTACTCTTTGCTTATTTTCCTTTGACACTCAGCTTGTCTTGATTGACCCCTCACCCCATTCTTACAGCTAATTTTATTTGAATCTTGCTTTAGATTATTTGTTTGGAGTATTTTAATGTATTAAAAGGCTGAGTCTTCCTAAACAAAGAACATAGTATTCCTTTCCATTTGTTTAAGTCTTTATTCTGCTTCTAAGCATCATTTTTTTTCAAAGCACAGTACCAACATTAACCCTCACAACACTGAAGGAGGTCAATATATCCTTTATTACAGTGCTCTCTCCATAAATTTAGGTTACTCCCAGGCATTTTATTTTATTTCACTTGGCCACTGATTATAGTTTTTATATACAAACACTTTTAACACTTAGCTTACTGAATTTCCTTTCCTATAATTTTTAAAATTGATTCCTCTTTAGTTTTTGCAATGTCAATTGTATCTGCAAAGACTGGTATTTTTATCTTCCTTAACTTGTTCTTCATTTTAGTGGTATTCTATTTCCTAGGAAACACTATAAGAGGTTTGAGTTGAGATAACCACATTTTAAGAAAGTGATTATTTGTATTTTATGTGTTTCTGAGAGAAATGGATACTAAATCGGCTTCCATCCATCCTAGCATTCATATAGTTTACTCTATTATTTTCCATCACAAATTTTCACTGATTATTAATAACCTTCTTAATACTGAGCTATTCTTGCATTTTTGAATAACATCCATTTTGTTATGGTATGTCATTTTTTGATGTACTGCTGGAAAATTTTGTAACGTATCTTTCTCTTCCCATATTGTATACTAGGTTTAGAAAATTGAATTTATTTTGTCATTATTGCTGTAGTAGCACTTACTTGGATTTGTCCTGGTGTTTGTTGCAGAAGGCATCTTTTTTTAATTTTAGCTGTTTATTTTTTATTAGTATATGTTTGCAGTCCATGGTGATTTCCTGTATTGTAGTGACTTTGTACATAGCGCATCTTAATTCTCCTTTGGGACCCTTCCCCTTCTACCTGTTTTGATTTGCTATTTGTTCAGGAATGAATTCTGATACATTATATATTCCTAGGAAATTATCCATTTTATTCAGACTTTCAAATTTATTTGTAGAGTTAGCTAAGTAATTTATAATTTTTTTCCTTGCATCTATGGCTATTTTCATGCATCACTTTTTTTTTGTATGCAGTGCTTTTGTTTCTCCTTAGGTAACTGAGAAAGCTGTTAGCTTTTAATTAGGTAAGCTTTATTGCTTTTTTCCATTTGAAAAAAAAACAATTGTATTAGTTCTATAAATTTTAATGCATTAGTTTCTATTTCTGTCTTTAGATTTAGTTTTCATGTTAGCTGAATGTTTATTTTCATGTCTTCTCATTAATTATACAAGCATAACATTTTTTTAAATTGCTGTTTAAAATGTATCCTACAGTCTCTAATCCTAATGTGTGATTACTCTAGTGACATTTTATAATCTGTTCAGATTTCCTCTTTAACCCAAGGCCTTTTAAAAAAAAATCTGACTCTTCTCTGATTTTGTAACTAACTCCAGTTTATTCCATTATTTGTACTATTTACAAATAGTACAAAGTTAACTTATTTATAAATATACCTATTAATATACTATTTATAGTACTAACAGAACATTATCTGTAGTATTTCTACCTTTCAGAATGGAGGTTTTCCCTGGTGAGTCTCAGGTTGGAATCCTAGACAGAGATGAAGATTCATGCGCAGGAGGTTGGGGGAATACCCTGTAAAAATCCTAGGGAAGCAGGTCCAGGTAAGGGAGAAGTTGAAGTGCATCATAGGTGTTTTATTTTTACTTTTTTTGTTTTTGTTTTTTTTTTCTGGTACCGGGAATTGAACCCACGACCTCGCACTTGCCAGGCAGGTGTTATGCCGCTGAGCTAAATCCCCAGCCTATTTTTACTTTTTGTTCTTTTTTTAAAGTCCAGAATCTTCACTAGAATACATCCAGTGCATGACACTTTACAGCAATCTTCTCTGGTTCAAATTATATTCTTTGAAGTCTATTCCTGAAAATTATTTTGGATTCAGCCTTTATAATGTATTTGTTTTATACTAATATTTTTTTAGACTCTTAATTGTACAGACATTGAATCTTTTTCATGTGCTCTATGAATCTTTTTTCCCAAAAACTACATTTTAAAAAAATACTAGACATAATTAGAAAGAAATAAAGCACACATACTTTAAAGTGTTATTTTAATGAGTTTGAACAGTTATATATGTCTGTATAATCACCAACCTGCTCAAGGTACAGGAATTTCTCTGATGTCTTTTCTCAGTTAATCCCTCCCACGCCCAGAAAGCAACTGTTCTGAATTATGATTTTAACTTATTTATTCTAAAATATTATATAAACTGAATATACTACATGTGTGTACTTTTATGTACATAGTTAACATGGTGTTTTGAAGACTTACTCATTTTGTTGCTTATAGCAGTAAGTTTGTGGGTTTTTTCAACTTACTGTTGAAGGTATACTTAATGCAGTAAGTAAGTTCAACATAGTAAGTGTACAATTTCATCAACTTCTATATGCACACACATTGAACCATCAAAATGTTTTTTTCTAGGATATTTATGTTTTCTTCCAGTTCCTTGCTTCTTCATCTGCCAATTTGCTTTCATCCGCTTCTATCCTCCTGCCACTTTCCCACTAAGTTGATACATTTATTTGCACCTTGCCCTGGTGATTTTTGTTTAAAAAATTGTATCATAAATAGTTTACCTCCTAGCAAAATATTTTCACTTGATCTATAGCAACCTAACCCCAGTGAAACTGGTTTTCCTGTCATTTGCTGTTCCTTTTCTTTCATCCCCTTTTATTCTAATATGTCTGTAAAGGTGTTATGCTGGTTTGCTTTCCAGGACTCATTTTGAGGGAGAAGACTAGAAGTTTTTCTTGCAAGTTACGTGGCAGAGGGGCCTGGGGTATGTTCCCGGCAAACAGAATTTTATATATGAATTTAAGAGGTTTTTTTTTCGTATTATATCATCTAGGCTATTTTTGTTTGTTTTGTTTGTTTACAAGTAAGTAATCTATATTCTTGGCTTCTATGAGAAAAGGTGTTTTTTGCAGAAAGACTTGTCTGTGGTATTTTCTACTCAGCTTTGCCTCCTCTTTTCTTTGAAAACAAACCAGTTCTAGGAGGTTAGTATCATGAACTATTTAAGCCCCATTCTGCT